CAATGATGTGGTCGAGCCACGTCAGGGCGAGCAGCGACTCTCCAACGTTGAAGAGCGAGAAGATGTGGTTGAGCGTGGCCTCCCACACGCGGTCGAGCATGGGTTCCCGCGTGTGGTCGAGCGGGAGCTCCCTGATGAAGTCGGCGCGGTCGTGTCCAATGACCCGCGTCCAGGCGCCGACGTTGTGTCCCGGCGCCCCGGTTCAGCGGCCGTGATCGAGCGTGGGCTCTCATCGGCGGCTTCGGACAACACTCCACGTCCGGTTCGACGTCGCGGACGTCGCAACCCGCGCCGTCCTCGTACACCATCGGCGGACTCGGTTGAGACTGAGGCTGAAGTGATCTCCGTCCTGGTGGGGGACGACGCGGAGGCGGCTCCGCGTGTACGCGACGTCGAAGTCGCACGTCCACCGTGCGACGCCGCCGAGATCACTCGGCTGCCTAGGCTCTCGTGGAAACACTTCCTCCGTGACCTGAAGAAGGGCGAGATCGCATGATCGTCGCCGAAGACGCCGAGTCAATTGCGGCCGTCGCAACCAGTGCGTCGGACCCAGCTTCCGACGCCAGGACGCACCCGAAAGGAGCCGAGCCGAAGAACGCCCGTCAAGCCCGCTACGCAGCTCAGTCGTTGCCGGCGCTTGAAGCAGCCGGCAACCCAGTCGCTCCACTCGTGCGTGAGTTCATGGAAATCTTCCCGGACAAGGTTTCAGCCGTTCTTCCACCCGACCGCGGTGTTCGGCACGAGATTGACCTCGTGTCCGGAGCGAAGTACTGCGTGACGCGGCAGTGGCCGCTTCCTCGCGACCATGTCGAAGCAATTGACGCCTTCTTTAAGAGTCACCGGCAAGCCGGCCACGTTCGCGAGAGCCTCTCGCCACACTCCAGTCCGACGTTCTGCATAAAGAAAGCAACCGGCAGCTGGAGAATCGTCCACGCCTTCAACAAGCTCAACGAAGCCACCATACCGGCGCAAACGCCGATCCCGAGGAAGGACATGGTGCTGGACACCATGTCTGGCAGCACGAAGTACAGTGCCATTGATCTGATGGATGGCTTCTACCAAATCTTGATGCGCGAAGACGATGTGCCGTTGACTGCGGTCAGCACGCCCAGCGGGATGTTGGGGGAGTGGCTCGTGATGCCGCAGGGGCTCAAGAACGCTCCCGCTACCTTCAACCGCATGGTGTCCAACTTGCTTCGGCCATACCGAGACTTCGCGCCCAGCTATTTCGACGACATCTTCATTCACAGTCGTGCCGAGGACGGCATGGCGGACGTTGAGGTCCACCTACAACACCTGCGCAAGGTGTTTGAGGTGATGAATGAGAACAAGCTGTACGCCAACTTGAAGAAGTGTATCTTCTGCGCTTCCGAGATCCCTGTGCTCGGGAGCTACGTCAGCAAGGAGGGTGCCCGCGCCGACCCCGAGAAGATCGAGGCCATCTGCGCGTGGCCGACGCCGCAGGACCAGAAGCAGCTCCGGCAGTGGCTGGGGCTCGCCACGTATCTTCACCATTACTCGACGAACTTCGCTTCGACGATCCGCCCGCTATCTCAACTCCTCAAGGCAGACGCCACGTGGTCGTGGCGTCCCGAGCACCAAGCTGCCTTCGACGCGGTGAAGTCGAGCTTGTCCACCGCGCCTGTGCTCATGCTTCCAGACCACTCGAAGACCTTCCATGTCGTGTGCGACGCGAGCGACTTCGCGATCGGATGCGCCTTGATGCTGTTCGATGACGAAGGACGCGACCGGGTCATCAGCTACTGGTCGCGTCAGCTGAAGCCGGCGGAACGGAATTATCCGGTCCATGATAAGGAGCTGCTGGCCATGCGCTACGCCCTCATCAAGTTCCGCATGTATCTCCTCGGCGAGCAGACCTTCGCGATCTACACCGATCATGCGTCGCTGAGAACGGCGACGAAGAACCCCCACTTGTCCCAGCGCATGGCGCGCTGGTTGTCACTGTTCTCCGAGTACAACTTCGTCGTGCACTACAAGCCGGGCAAGACCAACATCCTTGCCGACGCGTTGTCGCATCGGCCTGACTACGTGCAGTCAGGTCGCCACGCAGTTGACGACGAGGACGACGACGAGTGCGCCGTATGCACTGCCGAAGACGTCGCTGCTGTTGAAGTTGCAGCGACCAGTCCACTCCGTGACTTGATCGTGGACGCGTACAAGGAGGACGCGTCCTGCTCGGAGCTGATCCAGTTCCTGCGAGACCCCGATGCGCAAGCTGTCTCCACGCAGCCGCTCCCGCGTCGACCGCTACTCGCTGAACGGCGAGTTGCTCATGTACTGCGTCGACCGCGAAGACCTCCCGCGCATCGTCGTTCCTCTGGACGATGATCTCCGAGCTCGGCTGATCCACGAGTTCCACGACACGCCGAGCGGCGGCCACCTCTTGTCCAGAGACTTCTACTGGCCGCATATGTACAAGTGGGTCCGGAAATGGGTACGCTCCTGCGAAGCGTGCCAACGCGTGAAGCCGAATCCGTCCAAGCAGGCTCCGCTTCGACCTCTCCCAGTCGCCACGGACGTATGGACGTCTTTCAGCATGGACTTCGTCTTCGGGCTGCCCCGAGACACTCAAGGGCGCACTGGTGTGCTTGTCTTCGTCGACCGCTTCAGGAAGATGCTCCATCTTGCTCCTGTCTCCGCTAACATCACGGCGAAACAGACTGCCGCGATCTTCGTCGACACGGTGTATCGCCACCACGGGCTCCCGTCTTCCATCGTATCGGATCGCGACCCACGCTTCACGTCCGCCTTCTGTCGCGAGCTTTTCTATCTGTTGGAGACGCGGCTGAGCATGTTCACCGCGTCGCACCCGGAGACGGACGGCTAAACTGATCGAGCCAACCGTGTCGTTGAAGATGTACTACGTAGCTTCGCTACGTCGTTCAAGTCGTGGAGCACCTTCCTGTCCCTGGTCGAATTCGCTCTCAATAACGCTGTCCACGCATCGACCGGGCTTACCCCGTTCTTCGTCAACTTCGGCCGACATCCGCGTGTTCCAGCCCTCCTTGGTGTGGAGCGCTCTGAGACCCCGGTTAGCCGTGATGACGAAGACGCGGTCGACCCGCGTCACTGGATCCGGACGATGAAGTTGCTGCCGAGCCTGACCAGGCCCGTGAAGAGCGTCGTGGTCCCGCCCCCGGCGCTGTCTCCACGATGCTACATGGCGTCACCACTCGTCAAGGCTTCAACGCCTCCGCAGTCGGAGTGCGCACACCTGCCACCACGCGGGCGGCACACGAGAGACCACACGCCAACCCCGAACGAGCTTCGTGCACACGTGTCGCTAAGAGGGCGGCACCTTCGGACGTTGCAGCTTGGACTTCGCGCACGTTAATTGACCCGATGCCACGTCGGTCCGTCGAGATCAAGACGCGCAAGACGTGGCGACACCTGCCGCGCCGGTTCCTGCCAACTTCGATCTGTTCCCAGCGCCGCAGCCCCAAGACGCTGCGGCTGTCCGTGACTTCCTTCAAAAATTGTGCGCTATGTACGTGACACCATCGCGGCGGCCGTGGACCGGCAAAAGGAATATGCTGATCGACGAGGGCGACGACATCTGGAGACGTTCGCCGTGGGCGACCGTGTATTGCTCTGTACGACGGGTATTCAAGCCGCTGCTATTACGAATCTGGGCGCGAACAAGTTCGCGCCAAGATTTATTGGCCCATTCAAGGTTACGAAGGTTTTAGGGGATGCTTACACTCTCCAACTACCGTCTGATATCCGCCTACATCCTACCTTATACGTCGGCCGCCTCCGGCGTTATCGCCCCGCAGTCATCCCCAGCGACGCTGGTTCCAGCCAGCGTCCCAGTCGTCTTCACGGCTCCGTCGACCAAGGTGCTGCGGCGGATCACGCGGCGCCTCAGTCAGCTCGTCCCGCAGTGCAGCCATCTCGCGCTCCAGCCGCAGCAGCCGGTCCCAACGCTGCTGCTGTTGTCCTACCTGACCTCGCTGCTGTGAGATCGGGAAATGACTGCGGCCGGGCGAGTTCCGGCCGAGATCTAACTGCCTTGAGCTTGCGAGTGATGGCTGACCGAGGGCTCTGATTGGTCGGTCACATTCCCCGCGCTTTAGTGCTCAGAAGATTGATAGAGACTACGGAGTGACAGGAGGGTCTCGGCGGGTCAAAATAAACCGCCTGCCGAGGCCTCCGAAGTTTCATAGTGGGTACACTTTATGCCCAGTAGGAGTTCGGATTTAGGACGAAGTTTCGTCCAATTGTAGGATCAGCTCGAAAGCTCGGTCCACACTTGATATTTGTATAGACCTTAGGGATTAGCTATAGGAGAGGCCTGACAGCCTCTAAACCATTAAACAGAACAGAATTTCCTCCCCAAGCCACACAAGGGTCAAGTCCGTCTACGGTAAGTCGCTAAGCTTAGCGAAGGGTCTGGATACCATCATGTTCTTGTTCTTGTTTCTTCTTCTCTTCTTCACTTCTTCTTCTCTCCTCAATGCTCGTTGGGCAAACCTACACATACCACAACACACAATCGGTCACACCAGTCCCGGGTCGCGGCACCAGTTGTCGTGTAGGAAAACAAAAAAGTCGGCGATAGATTGTCGGGATAATAAACCTGAAGACCAGGTTCGATCCCTTATACGGGCTGGAATGTGCCTCCCTGTGTGTTGCGGGTCAGGTAGGTTTACCCTTCGTTAAAATATAAGAGCACCCTTACCCACGAGCTACGGCTAGGATGGATGCAATGTGTAATACGTGCTTTCGCACTAAACCTCTGTGGTCCCTCAGAAAGGAAGGATACCAGGCCAATCGAAGCCTCTTACAGGGGCGCCGGGGCGAAGCCTCGACTAGAAGTCAAATACACTGGGGGGTCCTTGCCTCACATCCAGTCAAACGTACAACTGTACACAGAGGTCTCTAATACCTCCCAACACTCGGCCACCTACTCACTCTTGGCCTTACCAGGATGAACACTCGGTCAATGCACCTTATGCTCATACCCCGTGCAGCCGAGTGCGAAAGGATCCAAGTCAGCGGTACCAGCTACGCCGGTGAAGTCGGGACTAGGATCGGCCGAAGGTTCGTCAACGATCGCGAGTGACTTAACGTCTCGGTTGTCGACGATCTCCGAAAGGTCGGTCAGTTTCGAAGAGTCGGTCGACGAAGATTCGGACGCCAAGGATGACATGATGATGGACTATGATGACCTGGAGGAGAAGACTCCAGCGCCGACGCAGGAGTACGGGGACGAAGAAGATGCGATGCTGTCCGCGGGACGCAGCGGAGGCTCGCGCTCCGTGTCCCGGAACCTCGTCGCGGAATTTGATGAAGTGGCGAAACCCGACCATGCGGACGACGACTTTGAGGATGGCAACGAGACCTCGGCTTCGAGAGCTCTGGTGCAGGTTACTAAGGGTCCTCAAGAATCCCGCGGAAGTCGGCCCGCTATGAACAGCAGCACTCCAGCTGCGAACAAAGTGCTCGGCAGAATGCTCGAGCAGATGGTGGAGTCGAGTGAGTGGATATGGCAGTTCAATCCCGAGATGACGCGTCAAGCAACTTGGGCTGAGCTGAAGGAGGAGTTGCAACACCCCGTTGAGTCGACCTCGGTTACGCAGGTGTTATGAGCCCAACCTACGTCAACTACTGAAGAAGTTTCGTCATACGACTCCGGCAGTGCGGACTACGAGCTTGGTGCCGACGAGTACTCGTGACACCTTCACTACCTGCGACGTACGAGAATCTACGGCGTGTGACGACGATAGCGTGTTGCACCCGTAACGTCCAGGCTTGCTATCCGACATCGATACCGACAAGGAAGCAAGAACAACAAGTCCCGGCGGAGCGAATACCAGCCCATCAGTGACGACCCCAGAACCAATTGATAACCTGCGGCCTACGAAATTCTGCGGGAGGCGATGACTCAGACGTGTTGCACCCGTAGCGCCCAGGTCCTGGACTCCAGGCAACCATCCGAAGATAAGGCATCTTCAGATCCCGACCAGGGATACCAACGGCGGAGCCTCAAGAGCAGAGCCCCAGCCACCAGTGAAAAACCCTCGGCTAACACCGAATCAACCGATGGGCTCCCCGATGCCGAGCCAGCACCATCAAGACCGCGTGGACAAGTTTCTGATATCGCAGCGCCAAAGGCAGAATCGAAACAGCTACGGTCTACAAGCGATGCATTTCAAGGAGCAGCAAATGAGCTGCGAGCCGTTGACTTCATCAACCAGGCTTATCACGATGTGTAGTGAGTACGAGCTCGAGTGGAAGATTGCGATCTTGCCACCACTCTGCCACAGTGCAGTTCCCAAGTACCCGAGTACCATGCTTCACCTTCGACGTTATGCTTGAGGGGGAGTGTTGCAAGTAGGAAAACCTTGCAAGCATTACTCAGCGGTGATATGTTACCAATGAGGTGATATGTGTCATTGCGAGTGCTCATTCTGTCCAGCAGTAGGACAGGCAACAAGTGTAGCTAGGTTAGAGATCTAGCCTCACGTCTCCAAGGGGAATGCCCCTATCCATGTCCGTACGGAGCCCCTGCTCCAAGTGTGTTCTCATTCTCAAATATACCTTCCTCAAAGGACTCGAGTCTCCGGCGCTGTCAACTCTTCGAAGTGGTCTTCCTTTTCTGACCTCCTTTGGTTATCACGGCGCCTCCTGTTGAAGCGACGAAGCCCTGCGAAGGTACTTGCAACCCAAGCACCGGAACGATGTATATTTTTTACCAATGAAGCCTCCTGCAGATCGTTTCGCTCAGCTGTCTAGGTGCTTGCATACTAACCTCGTGTCACCCGGTCATAGCAATCTACCCTCGAATGGATACATTCGTCCACTGTACGTGTAGATACTTCGACGCCTACCTCTACTGATGCTCCAACACGCCTCCTTCAAGTTGTATGGCGGCATCTCGATGTGGGCCAGTGGGCGTCGGTGTCAGGTTGAATTGAACGCACAGCTTTTCGAACTGCGGCCTCGGGAGCGCCTTCGTGAGTGTATCCGCTGGCATTTCGGTGGTCGGGCAGTGTTGAAGCTTGACGTCACCAGCTTTCCACGAGTCTTGGAGACTGTGATATTTAACATCGATTGTCTTCTGGCAACCGGACGTCTTGCCGTTCTGCACTCGTTGTATCACTGGCATGTTGTCGATGTGGACCGTCACTGCAGGTGTACGTTCAGTACCGATGATCTCGGCGAGCAGGCTTTTGCTCCAGAGTGCTTCTTCGACGACGGCTACTAGTTCCGCGGCAGTGCTCGACTTGGTGACGAGTGCCTATTTCTTGTTTCCCCAATGCACTGCTGATCTGAAGACCTTCACTAGCGTGCCCGAGATGCTCTTCCTGATCATTTGCCCAGTCGGCATCGTAGTACGCACTTTGATCAGGTTTGAACACCAGCGTCCTCTCTGCTGTACCTCGAAGGTATTGGAGGATGCGGATCACCTTTGTCCGGTGCTATTGCCGGGGTCGAAGCACATTTGTGCTGCCTGGTTCACTGCAAACGCGATATCCGGCCTCGTCATGCGACTGATGTATAGCAGGACGCCCACTGCCTCACGCTGCGTGTACCAGCGGCTATTGGCAAGTGTGAGGGCACGCAACCGTCAAGTTTAAAACGGTGCAGAGTCTCCTGTATCAAGGCATGGACGAGGAGGAGGAGGCTGGCGACGATGTTGAAGTTGAGGTCGTGGGGTCTGTGGCTCCCCAGGACCGCGAGGTGTTCAAGGCCAACGCGGGCCACGCCGCCGCCACCGCCGCTATCAAGCGGTACAACCTACGCTCAACCCCTCGAGACTAATAGACCGGGAGAAATTACTACATAAAATACAGGGTTTTTTTTCACTTCATTCCTGTCACTAATTTGCATCGCCGGTATCATGGCGGACGACAGCGCGCGTGTGACGTACGAGCTGCTGCGAACCCATAGCGACCTGGAGAATGCAGAGACCCACAAGGAGATGCTGAGGGCGCTGAGCTCCGTGACTGGCGACCACCAGAGCGCCGAGGTCCTGCAGCGTCTCCACGCCACAGAGTTTGGTCCGTTGGGTGCCGCTCCTCTGGGCATCAGCTACTTACCCAATTAAAGGCTGAGTTTATGTTTTGCTGCAATGGGCAGCGCTGCTGCGGGCGCAGGAGAACCGAGAGAAGAAGACGCAGATATCCAAGAAGAGGGGCCAGCTGCGGGACAAGTGGAGGCAGAAGGCGGCGCAGGAAGGAGCAACGCTCGAGGACGTGCAGCGACGCTTCCCCAAGCTCTTTGAAGGCGTACGGGGCTGCTGCAGACTTTGAGCCGTGTAGCTGTTGGCTCTGGTCTAATGGCAGCTTGATGTGGTGGTGTGGACAGGTGGTGGAAGAGCGGACGGAGCCCAAGAGGGCCGTAGCAGCGGCTAGGAATGTTGACGTGCCGCCGCAGCGTCAACCACCAGTGAATTTAGTGGCCCCTCCCGCTCCCGTTGCGGCTTTCCAGCCTGCAGCTTCGCCACCCGCGGCACCAGCGAGGATGGAGCCCAGCCCACCTGCTAGAAACGACTTCAACTTCACCGACGACGTGTGGAGTGGCCCGCCCCAGGCTGCTGGGTTCTCGTTGCCGAAGCAGCCGCCACAGCAGCAGTCAGTGCAACAGCCCAAGCCTGCCCTGAGTGACCTGCTCAGCAAGAGATCCCGACTGCCACACGAGGATCCAGAGCTTTTTGGCGCGGATACTCGCCCCAACCCGGTGCAGCAACGAAATCCGTTCCAGACGGCAACGGAACGTCTTCAGGTGCGGATGCTATTGGCCATTACCATGATATTGTATTGGTACTAACATGTGCCACGTGTGCTTGCCTTGCTGTGAAAAATGAAGCATGACCGCATGACCGGACGAGCTAGAAACCTTGACGACGACGAACCGCGCAATCGAAATGGACGAGAACGGAATCCCCGGGGTCCTCCTCGCGGAGTTTATCACCCCGTCAACCAAGATCTCTTGCTTGGTGGTGGTGGGAACAGCGACAACGAAGGCTACATTTCGGGGCCGTCTGCCGTGAGCAAGAAGTTTGTGTCGCCTATGAATGACGGAGGCGTAAACAAACGGTGAGTGATGTCCCGGTTTCTCTACAGTAGATCGTTTGAAATTGCACACTAACATGTTATCGGGTTCTTTGTGTGTGTGCACCAGTAACAAGCAGAAAGCTCCTCCGCCTGCAGAGGATGAAAACATCGACCCACGCCTCAAGAGCTGTGATCCAGAATTGATTGAGAAGATTGAGATGGAGATCGTCGACAACGGAGATCCCATTACGTTTGATGATATCGGTACGCTGCACACTGTCAGTTACTTGATTACAGCCCACGAGATTGGATCACTCACATCTTGTTTTTGTTTCTCTAGCTGGACTGCAATTTGCCAAGAAGTGTGTGAACGAGCTGGTCATTTGGCCGATGGCACGCCCCGATATTTTCACGGGTCTTCGGTCCCTCCCGAAAGGTCTTCTCGTTGTTACTGCTACCCAACACGTCACGCTGTTGACGAGAGCTGATCTACATACTTTGTGCGTAGGCTTGCTGCTGTTTGGACCCCCTGGTACAGGTAAGACCCTGATTGGCAAGGCGATTGCAAGCCAGTCGGGGGCGACATTCTTCAATATCTCAGCTAGCTCGCTCACGAGCAAATGGGTATGATGCAATTTTCATGTTTATTCGTGTACAAATTGAAGTTGATGGATACTGCCGTCGTTAGATTGGACAAGGCGAGAAACTGGTTCGCACGTTATTTGCTGTCGCAGCGGTCAAGCAGGTATTTCCTGGGCTAATCGAACGTGTTGGCCTCAGTCAATTGTACTTAGTATCTCTGATGCTTGCTAGCCCTCCGTCATATTTATTGACGAAATCGACTCGCTACTAACTCAACGAAGGTAAGAAGAAGTTCACTACCACGTGTGGAACCATCAACGCGATTCTAACTGTGCACTGCATTACAGCTCGGAAGAGAATGAAGCGAGCCGAAGGATGAAGACGGAGTTTCTTGTGCAGCTTGATGGTGCTGGCACGAAAGCAAAGGACATCATCCTGGTCGTGGGTATGTGGACAATTGAGATCTGCATTTGTGTGCGAGAGCCCTACAGCTTTGTTACCTGGTTTTGTAGGCGCGACAAATCGACCTCAAGAGCTGGACGAAGCAGCCCGCCGACGATTCGTCAAGCGCCTGTACATTCCGCTCCCTTCCTTCGAAGCCAGACTCGATCTGGTCAGCCGTTTGCTCAAGAATAACAAGAACGACCTGGCTGAAGACGACAAAACATTTATTGCGGAGTCTACCAAAGGTATATCTACTTATTAATACTTACTCGGCTATTGTACGACGAAACGAGTATCTGACGCTGAGTGTGCTCTCGCTACAGGCTACTCGGGCGCAGATGTGCGTGCACTTTGCACCGAAGCTGCGATGGGTCCTATTCGGACCTGCGCGGATATCCGCACGATGGACGCCGACTCCGTTCGTCCTATCAACCTGGACGACTTCAAGGAAGCTTTGCGTGGGGTGCGTAGAGTGTGAAGGAGCCTCATTTCATGCCTTGAAAGTCACATATTTTTGCCGGTTGCACAGGTCCGATCCAGTGTCGCGACGAAAGACCTCGCGTTCTACAAGGAATGGAACGCGGAATTCGGGAGCTTTGCCTTTGAGAGCCACGAAGCAAGCTAAATCTAATGAAAGACTCGTGCTCGTGGTTTTCAATCTTCCACGTGTTACGTTTTTCTTAACTTGTGGGGTTCTGCTACTGTAGAAGGCCGGAGCCTACTCGTTCGTGCGCTCACCTATGAGAATCACGTCTGCGGAAGTCGCGAATCGAAAGCTAATGTAGATGGAAAGCGGACGTGGGCGTAATAGTCGGTACTGTTGTAAATAGAGGTTGCATCCAAGGAGGCGGCGCGGCTTTGAAACTCGAGTGTGGAGGAAGGCTCCCTCAGTATTCAGGGTCGTCGAACGGCATATTGAGTCGTCTTCGCTTCGCCACGGGCTCCAATGAAGACCCGACGTTGCGAGTTGATGCGCGCAAAATGGTCAGTGCGATCGACGGGCAGCTCTCGATCTCTTCGCGGAAGTTTTCGTCGTCGATGATCTCGTTTGTGTGGTCCATGAAGAAGGCGAGACAGTACTCTTTCAAGTACGCAGCGTTGAACTTCTCTGCGGCGCAAAGGAAGCGGCCGATGTTTCCGACGGACAACACGTCCTGTGCTGCCACCTCGCAAAGGTGCTTCAGTGGGAGTAGCAGATACTGCTCCGACAGCGTCAACAGATCGATGAGTTGCTGCACCGCGACAAAACCCAAAACAATATTAGTGAACACTCAATAACCAGCAAGCGGACAAGTGCAACAGCACCACGCACGTTGGAGTTGAGTTTGCTCATGTCCATCACGCGGTTGGTGTAAATGAACTCGAGCATCTTGGACACCATCTCGGGCGAGTGGTCCTCGATCCGGACGACGCCAGCCTCGCTCTCCATCATCGCTCCTGGACGGAACATGGCCTCGAAGATCTCGCACCTTGTTGTGAGGATCAGCCGGTGGGCGCGCAGGATCTCTCTGTCCGGTCCGACCTCCAGTGTAATGTCGCTGTCAGCTCCACTCTTCAATCAACAGCAGCAACAGAACCATCAGCGTCAATAGAACAAGCCCAGTATACTGTAGCTCCACCCCAGCCTGTTGCCATACCAGGAACAACTCCCTCATCGTGGCGAAGTACGCCTCGTCGCTGTGATTCGGGATCGCCAGCGTCGTCGGCGCCACTCTGCGCCGCACCAGGATGATGTCATTCTGCAAGTAATAAATCACGTACGTCAGTAAAATAAAATAAAGTAAGTAATGAGAAATTAAGATCTTGCGCCACCTTCTGCAGATGCACCGACTCCGGCGAATCCTCCGGGTCCAGGCGATTCTACACCACCACCACCACCAGCAGCAGCAGCAACGAATTAGGCGTCTCTTTCCGCTACAACTCCTCCAATTCGCCGTCTTACCGTGAAGAAAAAGTCGAGCGACTCGCGCGGCAGTCCGTGGTGCTTGCTGTAGTGGCGGAAGAGCGACGAGAAGCGCTGCGTCTTCTGCATCAGGCACGAGTACATGTTGTTGGCCGCCACGCGCACGATCGAGCGCTCCCGGCCCGTCAGCACCAGGTCCTCGGCCGCCTGGTGATTAATTCGTCGCGTAAAACGGAGGTCAGCGCCACGTAATTCCTCGCGCTGCTGGACGCTCGCAGTCCCTCTCGTACCTTGACGGTGAACTCGACGTTCTCAGGGCGCACGCTGCGGTTCATGGCGCTCTCGAAGTGGCTCTGGGCGTCTCTCGGGTCCGTTGGCAGCTCTGGGAATGCCGCCGCCACTTAGTCGACCGCCGCCCGTCTGCGTTGTCCTTCCTTCCTGGCTCGCTGTAGCTTTCGAGCCTGTCGCTGCAGCCAGCTGGCGGCAAACCTAATAGAGTGTATCCGTATCTGATTACAAAGGGTAATGTGTGCAAAACACCATACAAAGTGATGGTCTCACTTCAAGTTGAACATTCATTACTGGACGTCAAGCACCTGCACGCCCCTCGTGGTCGCGTCCCACTGCCGAGTCTCGAACGCGTACCCGTTGCCCTCGAACACGCTGTCCACGGCCTTGGCCACGTCCCAAATGACCCGACACCGGCCGCGCACCACGTGGTCCAGCTCCACGATCACGTCGAAGATGGGGTTGCCAGCTCGCTGCGTCTGCAGCTTGCTCTTGGACGCCGACTGCGCCGCCGCGCTGTCGCCCACGATCACCTGCTGCGAGCCGCCCACGAGGCCCTTGAGGTCCGGGTTCTTGAGCAGCGCGCGGAAGTCGCCGTGCGCGCTCGCGATGAGCCGCGGCCCGCGCTGCCGCACCGTGGACGCCGCCAAGACCTCGGCGCGCCGCCCGATCTCGTCCACGATGAGCGTCTCCACCGTGTGGTTCTGCACGCACTCGACCATGACGCCGGCCTGCGCCTCCAGCGACCGCACCATCATGCGCCGCGCCCAGCCCACGCACTCGTGCGGCACCAGGCCGTCGCCGCCGATCTCGTTCGACGTGTCGATGATGCACACGTTCTCCATGGTCTCGGACACGCACCTCGCCACGTCTCGGATCAACGTCGTCTTGCCGCTGCCCGGGTGGCCCAGCACCAGCACCGACTTGTCGGCGTGGCGCGCGCTCAGCAGCAGGTCCGTTAGCACGCACGCCGCGTTGCGCAGCGCTCGGCCCACGCGCATCGTCAGGCCGTACACCTCGTCCGTCTTGCTGCGCATGACGGAGATGCGGTGCAGCTGTCGGTCGATGCCGGCGCGGTTGTCGTCTCCGATGCGCATTTCGCCGCCGAGGTTGCTCAGGATCTCGTCGATCGTGTCCTTGGCGACGGTGGCGCCGTGCTTGCTGAGCACGACGCGCTGCTTCTTGCCCGTGTAGACGTAGGGGACTCGACCGACGTCGAGGCACACGTCGACGAGTTTGGTGCGGTAGTTGTCGATGGCGAGGATGGCGTCCTCGTATTCGGTCGGAAGGAGGTGGAGGAGCGGGTCGAGGTCGCACTGAAGTTCGAGTGGAGGGATTCCAGAGGGCAAACTGACTGACTTGGTCTCGTCGCTGTCGTTGGAGTGGAAACACTCGAGGCTGCGAGGCTGGTTGTCCGCTTCCGGGTCGAACCAAATGGCATGGTGGCCCTTGTTGGCGATGGCGTACTGCCACCGAGTGTTGGTCGTCGCTGCACACGCTGCTGCCAATGGAGATATCTTGTTCAGCTCGACGTAACATTGCGCGTAGAGCTGTGCGTCGTTGGCTAGAGTCCGCAGCAGCGACTCTGGCAGAGATCTGCGTGTCCACTCCGCCCGGTCCGTCGGCTTCACCCTCGTCTTGAACGACTGCGTCGTCTGTGCTAGGCCCGACATGGCATCCATCGACTTGCAGTGCTCGACGATCTGGAGCATTGTCGCGTGGAGCTCGGAGGCACTCACGACGTTCTCGTACACGACCTGCAGGTCGATGCAGTTGATGAGTTGGACGTCGGTGAGGCCGTTATGGTGTAGGCAGAAGGCTGCTCGGTGTACGTTGTGCATGACTTTGGCAGTTGCTGGGTCGGTGAGTAGCGTCTTCAAGGCGAGAAGCACGCGGTCTGGGCTGAGTGAGTCAAGTTGCAGCACGATGGCCGTGTCGAGTGGATTAGCGCCAACGATACTGATGGCGACTAGCTGGTCATCGTCGTACTCGCCTGGGTAGAGAGGACTTTCGCGAGTGAACTGGAAGTGGACGCCGAGAACAGTTGTTGTGCCTTGATCTTGGCTGATGTTGTAGCTGCTTACAAGTACGCTGAAGACACGCTGCAGCTCCAAATCCGAGACTACGTACTTGATACTCCGAACGGAGCCAGGAGTTGAAGGTTTGCCACTGCATCGCACCATCTATTGTACGTCGCGGTGTGAATGCTGGGTAGCTTGGCGCTGGAAATCCCGTAGACAGTGTAGCATCGGACATAGAGCTGCATTGACGCAACCACATTATTCAGCATCGGCGGTGCCAGCGGGGACTTTGTCCACGCTTCGGCCTTGATGTTCGCATTGAGTTTCGCGACTTGTTGTTCTAAGGCGACTGCAGTTTTGCCTCCTAGTCGCGAAGCAATATCAACCAAGCTAGCGTTGCCTGCCTTGTTGTTCACCAGTTTGCGGTACACAAGCTGCAGGTCTAGGCAGTTGGCGAGCGCGACGCCAGTCATTCCAAAGCGATGTAGCCATCTCGCGACACGGCCAACGTTAAACATCACCTTGATGATAACAGGGTCCTCCAGCAGCGTCTTCAGCCCCGCGACAACCTCCTTGGTCGCCAGGGAGGAGACCTGCAGGACGACCGCCGTCGAAGTGAGCGCATCATGTCCAACCGCGATAGCCACAACCTGATCGTCCGTGCCGGCGCTCGCAGCCTCCGGACGCGCGAACTGGAAGTGGATCCCAATCACCTTCGCTTTTGTCGCGACCGGCTTGTTGTTGCGCTCTGCCAGCAGCTCCTGGAGCTTCGTCGTCAATGTGATGTACTGCAGCGAGCTCTGCTGCTTCTTGGGCGCCATGTCTCTAAGCTTAGCAGCTTTTCTTGGACGGACGCGAGTGAGTGACCCAAGTTTAGAAAAAGGAACTTGATAAACCGGTTTATCAACTTCGTCGGCGCGGGGTTTCACAGTTTGAAGGCGGTATATCGGTATTTGCTGTTCAAACCAATACTCTTGCAAAAACAGGAAGTGTAACGGATCGCAAACGGCTCAGCTTCGCTTCCTGGAGCTCCTATTGGCTCCTCGCGCAGATACCATTGGCTTCGGATAAAGCCGCACCCTTTCAGTAGGGTCGTGGAGGAAAGGCAAAGGCACGTACATGCAGCTTCCTCACTCTTGGTACCTTTTCCCGGCAGCGTATCCAAGCCGCACTATCGTTCCAACGCAAGAAAGGCAAATGGCGACAGCTGCATACGCCACCTGCAGCTTCTAGGACGCCGTGGCGCGTAGCAACCTCACCATCTTTGCTGGAGACGTCACATTTCAATTTTCCCTGTTTCGAGCACCCCTATCGTCTACCACTTCTCGTCTTCAACACTTCTCCCGGCCCCCAAGCTCCACAACTTCGTTGTCCCTGAATCACATCACCTCTTTGAGAGTTCGCCTTCGCTCCTCGTGCTTTTATCGGTAAGTGCTAAATGAATGCCCGAATCAGCTTTGCGCTATCTAACATTGCTCTCTCTCTCTCTCTGCTAATATATGTAGTGGGCCGCGCCACAACGCGTGACTACGGCAAACGGGCGGTCAAATAACCCACTTCACTGTCGTCGCCAGAAGCGGTCGGGTTGCAAGTGACGATGGACCAACTCTCTTCCAGTCGTGATTTCAATGCTGAAGGACCAGCCTCCGCTCGAGGTGCTCGAGGTGTTGATACAGCACCATCGTCTCCTGTCGAGTATGATTCTGAAGATTACTGTGATGACACTACTGAAGTGTCGGCTACACGAGGCTACGCAAATGGCCAGCAGTCCCAGATGGAATCTGCTGTTGCTGGAGCAAGAGGAGGGCCTGCCCAAAACGTCACTCACGGCTCAGCATTTGCGCGACTTCCGGTATCAGAACAAGCAAGGACGTCAGCATCCCAACAGATACCCTTCACGCAATCGGCACCCCCAATAACTTCGAGTCTACCCTGTGGTGATTTCCGTCGGACGACTTCGAACTCCGTAGGACCCGGTGCTGGAGCTACGACACCAACGCCACACCAGCCACCCGACGTTACTGGCCGTGACTCCTGTGAGTGGCCTCCCGAGCCGACGGCGCTGTATGATGCAGACGATATTGCTCGGATCCCAGCATGTATCCGTGAGGCGGTACTCCAGTTTAGGCCAACCCAAACGTGTACGCCGATGCCTCTGCCCCGAAGCCATCGGTCTATTACGTTCAAATATGGAGTCCGCGTGAAGTGCTGGTTCCGCGAATCCCTTGTTGTCGGGTGGTTGTGCATGGCAAGCGATGCGTGCCGTCGGGATATCCCTTCCATGGAGGAAAACCACTAATGCTACAAAGCACTTGTGGGAGACGCACCAAATCCAGTCTGAAAAGACGACCCTACAGAATACGCGCAAGCGGGACCGCGCTGAAGAGGTCAACCGCATTCTAGCGTCCGCGTTATGCCGTGACGATGCCAAGCGTTTGTGTTTGTTGCTGGAGACGTTCGAATTGTCTACAACAACTTGCCATTCCAGTTTGGTGAGTACGAAGAGTCAGTCATTCTGAAGGAAGTCGTCACAAAAGATGAGTTCAAGACAACAGTGAACTCAAGAACGGTGACACATTCACTTGTCGAGTTGGACGCATCCTTTCGCCAAGAGCTGATAGGGTTCATCAGAGACAATCGCTTGGGACTTATCAAGTGTTTGACGATGGTTGTTGACTTCTGGACCCCAAAGCATGGTGGCGAAAAGTATATCGGTTTGCGCATCTACTTCGTCGACTCCCACTTACGACTGCGTATTGTGCTTCTCGGTACTCGTCATTTCTTGCCCATGTATGGAGAACGCGACCAAGGGATTCGCGGCCCTTTTGAGCGGTGGATTTGTGGTATTCTGTTTGACTTTGGCCTGTCCCCGAGTGACTTCTTCGGCTCCACCACTGACAGCGGCCCCGACGTTAAATGGATGATGAACGAAAGGCTTGGATTGAAGTGGGAATGGTGCATCCCTCACATGGTGAACGCTGCCACCAAGATGGCCTGCGGCTTGATGCGAAAATCGCACAATCCCGAGATGTCTGAGTTGCTAAACAAGCTATCTCAAACGGTGTACGACACCTCCACCAACTCGACACTTGGCGACCTGCTTCCCATGCTGATGATAATGTTGGGGGAAGGCAATGGTACCCAACTAGTAGGCTACAAGCCGCATCGCTTCATGGGGATGCCAGCCACGATGGAGCGGGTACTGGAGAAGTGGCCAGCTCTGGAGGCATGGTACGAGGCGCGTTCAGCTCCGCATGCACGGAAAAAGAAGCGAGCGCCACCAGGGTTCACCTTGCCGATTGTCAACAGCATTTGGTGCAGCTATTATCAATCCTTACACCGATTCTTCTCGTGACGAAGCGATCACAGGCGCAGGATACGAATCAAGTGCAAGTCCTGCTGTCCTTGTATACGATGCGCATGACTTCTCTCACACTTGACAGCCCCATCAGGCGCTACGACACGGTTCCGACGAACGCCGTCAATATTCACCCCTTTCAACTAACATCGCTGGTGGCGAGGACAAGGATGCTGCTACAGAAGGCGTTTTACCACAACTTCTTCCGCCGATATGTAAATGCAGATTTCATTGCATCCGGTTCCTACATTTTTGAGATGCAACTGGCGATGCATCCTTCGGTTAAGCACGTGGGGAGTCCGATGGACGAAGTGATTGCCGCCGTTGCACGTACTGAAGGGAGAATGCGGGGTGATCTTGTCGCTGGTCATGTTGTCGCCGTTCGAGCTGCAATTATGAAGCGCTTGAAGTCGCTAATGCGCTTAGTAGCCAACAGTCAAGACCCAGCACCCGTTGATCCGATTGCTGCTCCAGCTGTGCAGGCCAATGTTTTCGATGACGACATTTTGGCAACCTTTGCAGTTCAACCCATCCGAAGCACCGAACGACCTGCACAACAACGTAACAAGCACGATACTCTCATCGCCGGTGAGCTGAAAAGGTGGCTAGAAGATTCGGATGGGCTGCAGATGATAACAGTTCCTGATCCAGCCAAGACGAGCGTCCGCAGACCGGAGAGTATCCTGGAATTTTGGCATCGGCAGCAGCAGTCCAAGCGCTATGTCTTGCTACCCATGGTTGCTCGCATCCTGTTTGCAGTCCCATCTTCGTCTGCTTAGATTGAAAGGGACTTCGGCAACAGTGGGCAAATGGTGACTGCCCTGCGAGCTTCTACAAGCACGGCTAATATCGACATGGCTTGCTTCCTTCATCAAAACCGGTCATTTGTCGATGTGTGCCAGTGCCCAAAGCTGAAAGCATCCGAAGTCGACGAACACATTCCAAGCAATGTCAAGATTAACCTGGAACCCGAGGTAGTGGAGCGAATGGAATGGAATCAGCTGGCACAAGCGTGCTTTTCGACATCAAGCGCAAGCGCATTTGCTTCTGACAACGAGGAGGAGACGAAAGACTCAAGCTGGTAGTTTTAACGAGTAGGAGGCGAAAGACTCAAGCTGGTAGTTTAACTGCTTCATATATTCAAATATATTCACCTAGCATATTCGAAGTGGCTTTAGTAGTCAATTCCATGAGTTTGTCAAGTCCAGCATGTACAGGGATAAACATTACGAATACTGCAGCGCTTTTACCTTGGCTTGGTGTGATTTCTCCAGCGCACTTGCACGTTCGGCAGCGCGTAATGCTGTTTCGAGTGTCAGTTCGGCGCGGATTTGGTTCAGTCTCGATAGATTGGCCACGGCTTGCGGCTTCGAGGTTTGAGTTGCGGTTGGTTTACGCCTCACTTTACCTGCTCCAGCTCTAAGAACGCCTTTGGGGTGTAATGCTGGCTGATCGTTGCTGTAGGAAGTCTTGCGACCTTGTCGACCTGGGGAACTAGCTGTTTCATGATCCGATTTTGCCTCGTGCAGCGATTTCATTGTTGCTTCGATCGAGTTTCTGAATGAAGTCATCGCTTGATTCACCTCTGCCTTTATTCGGGAATCTATAATATTCTCCATGTGTTGAAGAATACTCTGGTTCGAGACAACATCTTGCTGATTGTGGCCCTGTGTAGCCATCTCCGCACGAAGTTTCACAAATTTACGCTCCTGCTTGTGCTGCAGCTTGTTCAGTTTTGCGTCAAAACGCAGCTCCAACTCGCGAGCGCTATCAGCAACAAGTTTTTGAGCTCCACTGTCTAGCTTCTGTCTTTCAGCGCGCAACTGAGCAGAAATCAAATCAGCCACGCTGGAGTCACGCTGTTGAAGACGGTCATCGACATAGGCTCTCATTACCGCTGTCGCGTTATTATTCACCGCTGTACTGCACGACTCCATCGCTGTCTGAAAGAAGTGCTGCGTCCACGACTTCGTGCCCTCCACTTTGCACTCCAGGTCACTCATATGCGCCCGCATCTCGGTTCGTATCCTCTCTTCTGAAGCCTCGACATACTTACTACACTGTCTCGCCTGCACAGCTAATTGGCGCTCGACTTCTGCAACGTGATGCTCTCTCTCTGCACGAAGGTGAGCTTGAATATCGTTCTGCAGGCTGCGTGTCTGAACTTGAAGCACTTCATTAAGTCGGCTGTGTGATGCTTGAATACCTTCTACCATCTGCTCGTTCATTCGGCGCTCGCTTTCTTGGCGGGTCTGGCTGACGTGCTCGTGTGTGTAGTTCAGTAGTTGCTGCGTCCGCATATCGAGCACCAGAGTTTGTTCTTCCGTCCTGCGTCTGGCCTCCTGCAGCTGAAGCTCATGGCTTGACGCTCGATGCTTCCGTCCACCAGCACCAGCTCTTCTTGTACGGATAGGGGTTTCTGCTGATCCTTGATGGAAATGCTTCGGTTGCGCCTCACCACAGCACCATTTAAGCCAGCAGCGTGTGGCGGGTTTCCGCTTTGCAGAGCTTGATCATCGTCGTGGAGTTCACTTGTGTACGATACAAGAGGTGCGTATGAGTGCTACATACTGCCTCGACTGGTGAGCAAGATGCAATGGCGTTCACGGTGCAGGGAAAGATATGTGCTCTGGTAAGGCCGCGCACTTAACCGAGAAGTGCCCGACGTCTCACATCAAGGCTATCCAGCCAATGGGAGAAGCTAGGCATGAACTCGTCGTTTCGTTCTCTCGAATAAGTTAAACCTTCGTTCGCTTCCTCCCGCTTAAGTTTTCATGTGTTTGAACCTTAAAACCTCAGGAACTGCGGTTCCTGAGGTTAATGGATTCGTCAGTTCCGTGGGGAACACCCTTAAGTCTTCATACCAGCCATGGAGTGACCGATGAGGACGAGGACGGACGCCAACCAGCGTCCTTTTTCTCGAGCCGTTTCTCAGCTGTTTCACAGGCTCAGTTTGGTGAGACTATCCCTGCCTACCAGGAACATCCTGGCAGGATGACGACGCAGGTGCAGTACTTCACCACTCCGCTGCAGCTGCACAGGCTGCTGGCCGAGAACGACGGCAAGCCCGTGGTCGCGCCGGGCGCGCGCGTCTCCATCCACTTCCAGTTCGCGAGCGAGCGCGACGCCGAGTCGGACCTCGACCGCGTGGTGGCGATAACGACTGGGAACCTGAAGTGGAGTGTCCTCTTGGTGCTGCTCACGCAGAGATGGAAGCAACGACAACACTCAGCTGGGCGGCAAAAGCCACCTTGTTGGTCGTGTGTATATTCTCAACTGAGACCTAGATTCTTCTCTTTCACCTTTTGTCTTACTCCAACTGCAAGTAGTATAGTGGAGATCAGTATAATCCGCAACAGCCCCACCTACGGATTCCCATCAACTTGCATCTCCAAATCTTGCCCTTGGCAATAATCCCATTGCAGCTCTGTGTTTTTCAAATGCCGGACGTGCCAATGGCTTTGTAAAAGCATCGGCCATGTTATCAACTCCTGGCACCCGAAGCACGTCAATTTCCTTCAAATCGATGCGCTCACGCACGAAGTGGTGGCGCACATCGATGTGCTTGGTCCGAGAATGAAACACAGGGTTGCTGGCAAGCTTCTTTGAACTTTCGTTGTCAACAAAGACTTGGGATGGCTGAATTTGCTGCACCTGCAGCTCCTTCAGCATTTGGCGCAAGTGCACCACCTCCTGCACCAGTAGACTAAGAGCCATATATTCGGCCTCGGTCGTGTGCAGCGCGACGGTCTTCTCCGTCTGGCTGCTCCACGAAATGATGCTCCCACAAAATTGAGTCACGTAGCCTGCAACAGACTTTCGATCATCAACTCGATTTGCAAAATCCGCATCTGCGTATGCTCTCAGATGATCATCCAGCTTTTGATCTGACCACGCTAGGCCACCAAGCTGGACCCCCCAGTCCGCTGTGTCTTTCAGGTAGCGCAATCCACGTTTTGCAGCTCTCCAATGCAACAGACCTGGGTTTTCCAAGAACTGACTGCACTCTCTAACTAGGTAGGCCAGATCGGGTCGGGTACCGAGCATCAGGTACATCAGGCTGCCAACCACAGCACGATATGGCGTCGATCTCATCAGTTGCCTTTCATCGTTTTCGGTCGGACACATGGCCTTGCTCAGCTTCAGATCCGCCGTGCTCGGCGTCTTGCAGCCATTGCAGTCCTGCATGTTGAACCGCTTGAGCACGGTCTCGGCATACTTCTGCTGACCAATGAACATCGTTCTCTCGGCCCGGTTCCGCGTGATCTCCCAGCCTAGAATGTAGTGTAACGCCCCGAGATCCTTCATCGCAAACCGGTCCTCGAACATCTTCTTCATCTTGTTGATGAGCTCCATCGACGGAGCAAACAAAATCAGATCATCAACATAGAGAGGGATGAAGACCAACTGCCCATCAATTACTTTAACAGCCACGCAGGCCTCCGACTGCAGCATCGTGAAGCCCTGCTCCTCCAAGAACGACTTGAGCAGCTGAAACCACACTCTGGGCGCCTGCTTCAAGCCGTACAGGCTCTTCTTCAATCTGCACACCCAGTCCTCTTTGCCTTTCACTTTGTAGCCTTCAGGCTGCTCCATATAGACCTCCACGTCAATCGCCCCATTCAAGAAAGCAGTAGTGACATCCATCTGATGCACTTCATAATTCCAGACAGCCGCCAGTGTCAAGAGAACACGCAGTGTCTCCAGCCTCACAACAGGCGAGTACACCTCTAGGTAGTCGATACCATAAATCTGCATGAAGCCCTTGATCACGAGCCTCGCTTTGAATCTTTCGATCTCTCCGTTTGCTAGATACTTGACGCGAAAGATCCAGCGATTCTGCAGCACTTTCATGTGCTTCTCACGCGGCACCAACTCCCAGGTATCGTTCTTCATCAACGAATCAAACTCATCATCAGCTGCATTTTTCCATTGCAATGAGTGCTCACTCTCCATAGCGTCACCGAAAGTATCTGGCTCTTCAAACTCGCCAGTACTCATGCAGCAATAGTCCTCCCACCATGCAAGTATCAACTCGTTCGCCATAGCACGTTGCAACTCAGCTCGTGCTTTCCTCCATCCAGCAGGCAACGAGTTCACATCATCATCTGGATTTGTATTTTCGTAGGCAATGTAGACGTAGTCACCGAACCACGTGGGCGGTTTACTTACCCGACCGCTCCGTGTCACTGGAGGGTCTTTAGGGCGAGTGCCTCTCGGGCCTGTGTACTCACGAAGTGCTGTGCAAGGAGGCGTTGATAGACGCCCCACACTCGCAGCATCACTCGACACTTGGCTGTCCGAGTCGGCCCGCTCAGCAGCCGATGACCTACTGTCCACCTCTTCCACCTCTTGACTCCCTGGTAGAGCCTTCGTCTCGTCAGCAGCCGGTCCCTTGTACCGCCCACTGCTGCGTTTCCTCTTTCTCCTTCTTTTGGAATTGCCTGGCACGCACTCACCTCGCAGGTGGTCTGCCTCATGTCCATTGACACGTTCCTCATCACGTTCTGCCACCTTGCTAGAACGATCACATCCAGATGCTGTAGAGCTCACTCCACGTCCTTCATCTCGTTCTGCCACCTTGCTAGAACGTCCACTTTCAAACACCGCAAACCGCACTCTCTTTGGTCGAGGCGCTGCGGCATCACCACCGGGGCCTCTCTTCTTGGACCCACATGCCCCATCTGACCGGACATCTTGCTCAACTGCCCCACCTGGTCGGTCATCACATCGGGTGTCATCAGCCCCACCAGTCCGATAATCACCTCCGTCTCTGGAGTCGCTGGCCCCACCAGTCCAGCAATCTCCATCATCACGATAACTACCTCCATCATTTGAGTCATCATGCATTTCATCCAGCATTGGCTCAATGTCATCCTCTACTGATCGATCAACGCCTAAATATTCCTTACCGGAGGCTGCACTTGGCGTTGATGCCGAGTCCATGAGCAATCGACCAGCTTTATTCTCATAGAACACGACAGTATGGCTGTAGAATGCCTTGTTGGTCTTGCTATCGAACAAGCGATAGCCTCGCTTCTCTCGCGAATATCCAACGAAGACCGCCCCCCGTGCTTTCGCCTGCATCTTCCGTCTCTCCACCTTGTCGATGTACGACAGGACGGCGCAGCCGAACGTCCGCAACTTCTCACAAGCAGGAGTCTGACGGTGCCATACTGCATACGGTACCTCCATGCCTCAAACCGAGCTTGGCATAATGTTCACGGAGTATGCAGCTGTCATCGCTGCCTTACCCCACATCGCTTCAGGCAGGTCGAAGTGCACGAGCATGCATCGCATTCTCTCCGTAATGGTGCGGACCATTCTCTCCGCGACACCATTTTGCTCCGGAGTATGCTTGATGCTGCTGTCAAACTCCATACCATACTTCGTGTCACATGTACTTTGCAGCTTCTTGAACTCCTTTGCATTGTCTGACCTTAGCGCTTTCATTCTGACATGCTGCTGCGTCTTGACGCGTTGATAGTACTCCTCAAACTTCTGGTACACTTCCGAACGATGCTCCAGAAGATACACGGTGACAAACCGACTCGCATCATCAACGAACACGACAAAGTACCGTTTACCACCGTAGGAGTGCTCTGCATACGGACCCCAAGAGTCCACATGGACCTTTTCGCCAACTAACCACTCGCGGGTCTGTGTCCAAGACTTCTTCATGCTCTTCCTCGTAAGTTTACCCTTCACACAGGTCTCGCAATTGAAACCCACCGGGATACGCAAGTTCACATGTGGCAACGGCCACTGATCATGGCTGAACAGCGCATTAAACGCGTTCTTGCCAGGGTGCCCCAATCTCGAATGCCACAGCTCCAAACTACTCACTCGAGCTGGTAGCGCCACCATGGCTACCTCTTGGGGTCTCTCCAACTTCAAGCGATAGAGATTGGTATAATCAACTTGAGCGATAGTCACGCCAGCCTGTAAGATAACATCAGCGCGATCTGCCTCATCAAAGTGCACCTTCACACGATCACGTTCAGGCAGATATTGGTTCAGTTGCCGTCGCACAGAATAGAGACTGCACTGCAGCTCTGGAGCATAACGAACTCCTCGCAGCGTCAGTGAGCACCTCCCACCAGTAGTCTCCAGCTCTTTAACCACAGTACCAATACCTTCAACACCCAGCGAGTTCTTTCCTCCAACTCGAATCCGGGCGCTAAGAGGCGTGAACTCCATGAAATCAGTGAGCTGGTTCGAAATATGACTCGATGCACCAGAGTCCAGGTACCTGTTATCATGGGCTTTGTCTGCGACCGGCATTTTCATTTTCATCACTTGAAGAATAACATACGCGCTGTCATCACTTTCATTAGCGTAGCTACTCGTTTCAGCAGCCTTAGCACTCTTTCCTCCACTCATCTTCACGCGCTTCTGAGCTTGGGTGCTGCTGCGATCCTCGGCTGGAGGTCGCTTGCCAAGAAACGGGCAATCAACCACATGATGCCCTGCTTCATGGCAGTGATAACAAGCACCACCTGGCTTTTGTCCACTGCCGGCTTGGCCACGTCCAGCTCCACGTCCACCACCTTGGCTCCCGCGACCGCCAGAACCATGTCCACCACCGGAACCGCGCCCGTGTCCTCCAGATCGACCACCACGTCCACGGCCGCGACCACGTCCTCGACCTCTTCCTCCACCAGCAAAGAACGCCTCTTCTTCATCATCATTGTCCTTGGCGCCCTCTGCTTTCCGACCTTGGCGATGGTCGTAAGCCATCTCCAATGCGAGTTCAAGTTGTTCATCATTAGGAGGATCATCAGCATTTTGGTGCTTGTGACTGGCGAGAAACGTCTGTACAACATGATCATATTCGCGCGGCAGAGATCCAATCAATAGTGCTGGCTTTACATACTCGTCCACAGGACGCCCGACTCCAGCAATGGTCTCCATCAGCCGACGCATCTCGCTCAGGTGATCTGGCACATTGCCGTTGGGAGCGAGCCGTAGCCGACTGAGCTTGGCCCTCTCCTCAGCGTACTTCAGGTACGTCTTGCCCATAAATCTCTTTTTTAAGCGCTCCATCACACGAAACGGGGTGGGTTCATACTTCACAGTCTTCATAATACGATTCGTCATTGCGTCGTAGATGATCTCCTTGGCGTGGGCCATCTCGCTCGTCCACGTCGCGTGCGCGTCTGCCTCCTTGCTCTCGTCCGGCTCGAGCAAGTCCTCCATGCAGTACTTCCACAGCTTCTTCCTCTCCAGCTTGAGCTTGACTCGCTCGTGCCAGACCTCGTAGTCCTTGCCGTCAAACGG